AGGAACAGAAAATGGGTAGAAGTCTTCAAACGTGAAGTGGGAAATTAGGAAGAACTTCCTAATTAAAAGGTGGTTCAACAATGGAATAGATGACATAGAGAGGTTGTAGAACCTCAATAATTGACAGCTTTTTAAGAGTGGGTTATACAAGCACATGGTGAGGATTCTGCCTTGAGCAGGAGCTGGACTAAATGATTTCCTAAAGGCCTTTCTAGCTGTATCTATCAATGATTCTATGTATACTAGCAAATTGCCCATCAAGAACGATGCGGGGTGGGTAGCCTTCCCCATCTCCGTCCAATCTATCACCGCCACCGCCTCCTGCCCAGAATGCTCTTGGAGCACTCTGGTTGGTTGTTTCAGACAACCAATCAGAGTGCAAATAAAGTGCTACAGACAGACAGACAGACAGTCTAAAGCTTTTTTATATATAGAATTCTAGGAAGACTATGGAGGATTTTGAGAGAAGATACTCAAAATTCACCTGTATTATAGCAGTGGCTACTTTCATTACTTTCATAACCCATTCCTTGCTTATCGTATATACAAAACTGCTGTGCAGATTAAAAGCAACTTCAAATTAAACAGATCTGACTCAGCAAAGCCAAACCTGGGTAACAGATGTGTCATTCAAAGGAAAGGATCTTTCAGTTTTGAAATGTACTGCCAATAATTAGTAGCTTTCTTCTGAGAAAAGTTCCCATTCATTGGAATACAGGATTATACCAGCATTTTGATGGAACCTGGATTCTTTACAGTAAAAACAGAGAATTCCACACTGAGGTCATCGCTGATATATGACCACATTAATGTCTGCCTGCATTCAAAGGCAGAGAGATGTATTTCACATCAGACTTCAAAATGTTGTCTGAGAAAATGCAGCATCAGATTTCCCTTTAGAGCTGCCTGGAAAAGTTATTGTTGTAATATGGGGTTGGGAGAGGATACCACAAATGTCCCTCTTTTGCTATGACTGTATATTTTTCTTCTATGGAGTATTTTGAGAAGCTTCAAATTATATGACTGCATTCACCTGACCAGCGATAATGTTACTATTTTACCTCAGTATTCTGGCTAAAAAGAGTTGTAAAGGGCTCATAATGAGAACAACTGCCATAATTTACATTCTACTATTAGATTTACAAGTGACTCATGAACAAGATCAGTTTGGACAGGGTGGAAAGTAATAGCTAGAATAAAAGCTGTCTAATGTGTGCAAGCCAGAGGTGGTGAAGGGAAGTTCTAGGGGGATGGACTGGGTTGCAAGTGTGTTGGTGTATGTGTGTACTCAAGTGATGGAAGAAAAAGAGAGAAAGCATCGTAAACTAAACACAGACTAAGGAGGAGCTGTAGCAGTGTTCAAAAGGAAGCTCAGAGAGCTTTAGGGCAAAGTGCTGGCTGGAAAGGGAAGAGGAACTTCTTCCTACTCTCTGACAGCTCTGTGCTCGGGGAAGAATTCTTTGTCAGTGACAGGAAATGACTCAAAGAACCAGCCGGCTGCATCCGCAGTTTCTCCTCCCAAGAGCAAGAACCCTCAGGATCCCAAGGGCTAACCCTATTTCATCTTTATATACCTTAGTGCCACTGACATAGGCATCCAAGTGTGGTTTTTGGCACTTACTTCTACTTTGGATTCTGTTTCCGCCTGTGGTGAAATAGCATCCCCCAGGCAAGGATGTACCTGATGGAAGTGAAATAGAGAAGAGCTGCCTTTATATCCATTAGCACAGCATCTGACTGGTTAGATCCCTTACCTAGGGAACAAGTGGGCCAGGGATACAGGCTTCCTTACCTGGGCTGAGGGAGAGCAGGGCTGAACTTAAAAATTCCACACATTGCTTTATCCAGCTGTTGACAAGGCATCAACCCAAGCACTCACTAGCCCTTCACTTAAAGCTGGCCCAAGAGGAATGCGAGACAGAATGATACATAGATCAGAAAGAGTGCCTCTGCAAGATGGACATTGCATTAGAAAGGAAAGTGCCCCTAAAGCATAAAGGTGAAATCCAAATAGGCAGTATCTGCTCAGGTTCAAAGACATAAGTGTAGAAATATAGACTTTGATGGCCTTTCTACCAGAGGCTATTTCAAAGGGGTAAAACTGACCTAGGACAGAACCAAAGTTGAAGGCAGAAAAGACAGAGAGAGTTGCCCAATTTGCTGTGGTTATACTAAGAAGACATAAACAAATCTCCAGTTTGGTAGATAATGATTTTTTTCCTAAGAAATGGAATCAATGTGCAAATTAATTCTGAGACTTTGGCCGATGTGTTTCCTGATGCTTTGTCTGTAACTATGCCAAGTGTGGGCTGGCTGACGGTAAAATGTTTCTTTCCATCCCAGATTCCCAGTGAAAACGTTACCCCATGCTAGAGGCACCTGTGCACTCTTCATTCCTGGGGACACCTTCTGATATAAACATGCACAGTCATATTGCTTTCTTTATGAGAAATACATGACAGGGGAGCGGCACCCAAGGACTTCTTTTAAGTTTCCAAATGAGGTAATAATTACCCCCACTCTTAGCACCCCCTCCCTTTCCTCCTTGCCCTGCAACACATCCCCTCCCCTCCCATTCCACCCCTGTCTGCTGCAGGGGTGGGGAGGAGGTTCAGAGTTGCGGCTGGCCCCCCGCCGCCGGGGGGGGGGGGGTGGGGTTGTGGGGAGTGGCTGTATGGGGAGCTGGGCTCAACTGAGGACATTGGCAGGGGCAGGTGGGCTCCTCTCTCTTATTGCCTGCTCTTTGGTTTGCAAGGAACAAGTAGGGCAATTGGGCAGGGAAGAGGAGCGCGCCTACTGTCCCCAGTGCTGTTGTTCCTGGCTGGGCCAGCTCCCCTTGCAGCCTGGCTGGAGCCGGGCAGGATCAGTCCTGGAACGTCTTCCTCCCCTGGGGCAGCCAGGAGCAGCAGCAGCAGTAGTCAGGGGAGGGGAGAAATGGGAAAGTAGAAAATGTGCCACTAAGCATGGAAAGGTCAGGTGGGGAAAAATTCTTATCTGCTTCAGGGGCTTAAAAAAAGTCCCCAGCTGCTGTTCCCATGGCATGATCCAAAAGTGGGGCAGGGGTGCAACCATGCCACTGCATCCCCTCTTGATCTGCCCCTACGAGGGAGGTATTTAGAAATGAAGAAGTCTAAAGAGCCCAGTGGCAAGTTGAGGTCAAATTTGAGCTGACAGCTGAACATAACAATGAGGTGAATACACCTGCCCACTTTCTCCTTAGCAATAGCCCTCAAAGAATTAGGGCTAGTTGGATCCAGGTTTTGACTTGAGAGATGATAAGAGGATTAATCCAAGATGAACTAGACAAGGAGAATCAACCCTGGGCAGGGCAGAACTAACTCTAGGCAGGCAGAATCAATTCGGCCCTATAAACAGGTATCTCTTTCTATTTTTACATTGAAACAGTCTCCCTTTAACCAAAATATGTGACTCATCATGATTGACATGGAATGATGGTGAGTCTTAGAAAAAATGGATGCTTTATTTATTCTGGTATTTCAAGTAGGTATGACCATTTTGTGTGATTTCTTTACTCACTTGATTCCCCTGTGGGATTTTGCAAGAATAGCATTTTAGAGACTTTCCCTATGGCTGCAAACTGATGCTGCATTTGCCCCAGGAGAAAGTCATTTGTCTCGGAATTGTCCGGCCATGCAAATCTATTCCATACACATCCATTCTTCTGCTTCAAGTCCTTCTGCAGTATCCTGGGTAAAATGCACTAATGCATTAATTGTACAGCTGTACAGTTATGGCAGTTCATTCCAGAGACAGGCTGTGATTTCTAGCACACCTCCTTCTGGCAAAGGAGCATCCATACAGCTTGGAAAGGAAGCGTGTGTAAATGATTGGGCTGCTTCTGTTTTGATCAGAGGCAAACCTGGTACAGTCTCTCCTCAGACAAATGAGACTTCTGTTTACAACCTATAGTTATCAACTTATACATGAGGCCGAAACCTGTTTTCCTTCAAATCAAACCCAAAGAGTTGGGGTTATATGCAGCATTCATTCATAATCAGCATACCTGAGTGGATCTCCCTGACACACATGGAGGTATGAACATGTCATGGTCTCCATTTTGGCTGAGGATTGGGCAGGGACTAAAAGCATGAGCCAAAGGACTTCCCTTCTCAGCTGAAACTAGGACAGGGCCCTCTGTCTGCATCCAAGACACACAGGGGACATAGACACATAGACATAAACACCAAGTTATATATTCCTACTGCATGGAGTAGTACTGTGTATCAGGCTCACAGCAGTTTGAATCCCAACCAAGCCTTCTCCTTCAGGGTCATCCTATTTAATATCTTCCTGAATGTTCTTGGCCCAACGTGTAAGTATGTAGCAATGAAATGTAGTGCTGAGATGACAATGGGCTACCTCTACACAGCACAACAAAGCACCATCTGGATACATGTGACTTAGCTCTGAATAAGCTATATGAGGCACTGGAAGAGGTGCAGCAATTTCTTAGCCGGGAATCTGAGGCCTGGTGGCGTGGCACCTCAGCTTCCACACTAGATTCCGCCCGTAGGAAAAGGGGACTTAGGGGTGGTTGGTGTTATAGCTAGGAGTTCTGGCATTGGTTGTGCTGTTGATAGAGATGCTCACACGTGCTACAGCCGGTGATGATTCCAGCTTCAGTCCCCAACCCAGAGCCCCCTGGGGTCAGTCAGCCCTTCCATGATTGATGAATGGACTTTAGAGAGTGAACAAGAAAGATCCCATCCCAGAGCTGCAGCAGAGACAGTGCGTGAGATATGTTTCCTTCAGTGCTTCATGTTTAGTTGAGGGGTTTACATCTGTTTGTTTTCTTCTGACAGTTGCTTAACGACTTCAATACCTCACTAACAAGAATTTACCTTTGAAATTATAATGTCATATGTTCAGGATCTGTTTAACCAAGGCCTTGCATCTCAGGTTACCAACATGAAAGCTTCCGGTGCGGTTTCCGTTGGAACATTTTTGAAGAAATAATTTTCTTTCCTTTGGCTATTGTGTGCCTCTCTTATCACAGGGCATTCAAGTGACAGTCACACACCTACCTCTCCCTCTGTGCTCAAAGGAAAGGAATTCACTTTTTCATCAGGGACTTCAGCCCCAAACCTTGCACCTACACACCCAAACAAAGGTAAGAGTTGATCTTTGTGATGGACTGTACTTATTACAGAATTGAATAGCTACAGACACTTCTTCTCTGTTGTGATTCTTTCTTAGATTAAGAGATGAATTACAAATGAATAATAGCTTGTATGAAATAAGGATTACATATGTAATATGTGTGTGTATGTATATAACATTTTTCTTAGCTGGAATTTAATGCAACGGTCCTGCAGTTACAGGAGCATTTGCCATAAAGTTAACAGTAAACAATATCTTGTTTTGCAGCCATAGTTACATATTGTTTTAATCCCAGGGGTGAGAATGGGAATCAGGCCAAATATATTGAAAGAGCTCTGAATGCCAAGAAACAGGGACCAAGTTGTTGGAGGTGATGAGGTCAAGGGGAGTGTTAGATGCTGAGTGTGTTGCTAAGTTGGACTCTATATTCTGACCCTAAAATATACAATGCAGGTGGAGACTGCTGTACCGGCACACAGATATAAGCAACTTCACTGATGTTCATGTATGGTCATCATTGGCTGGTTTGTTACAGCACCAGTGTCTCTACTGCTTCTCTGAGCTGGTCATACAAACATTTATTTATGCTTTGCAATCCCTTCTGATGCTTCTAATTGTTTATTCCTTTTGTTTTTGTTCTACGAGGCCAGCTTTCGAAATTTTGCCTTGACTTGTCCAACTTCTAATTTTCTTGTCTTCCTGGCATTCCTTTTCTTCTTTAGTAAGAGTGGAATTCTGTTTCCCTTTGTGCATCTGAATAGCAATTTTCTACCTGTATAGATGATGCTTTTGCTATTACACTAGGCAATTCTATTTCCCCTGCAGTGTAGACATATGAGTGTGTGCACATAGATTGGCCATGTGCAAAAGGCTATGTACCAGGAAGACCAGTATGTGTCTATGTATGTGTGCCCTTTGTGGACAGGTACCTGTGTCTAAGTCATGAAAATGGTAGTCATGAAAACTGGGTGTTATATTACAGAGGAGAAGGTCAACCCCGCCATGTGTTATCCCAGTAGTAGAGTAGTTAGGGCACTCACCCAGGAAGCAAAAGATGCAAATTCTCGGTCCTTTTCATGCAGAAAAGGTAAAAACTTGTATCCTGTTAACTTCATAGAATAGTTTGCTAAGCACCACCTGGCAGTTGGATATTACCCAGTCCCTCTTATCAATGACAGTATACCTCATAATAATTTATTAAACTACACACCACCTTTTATTGACAGGGATGGATGCTTCTCTGCATTTCTCTTGTTATGCCCTTACACTTTCCTATTCCATTTTTTCACCCTCTTTCCTTTGCTAGAAGAATTTAAACCTTCAAAATACTTCCGATCCATCAGGAACAATTCAATTTATTGATGAATGTCATTTTATGCATTTTCTCTGAAAATAATTTACGCACCTTGGCAGACCTGAATTTTACATGCATTAGTTAAAGAGAAGGCTGAAATGCTGTTGCTTGATTATCTAGTGCCGTGACTTGCTCGTCAGCTCCTAATACTTATCTCTTTCTACTTTCTTTTCTTGTAAAGCTTGTATTTTCATTGACCGTCCATGACAAGAAAGTTTGGGGAAGAACCTACTGGACTTAAAGCAGATTTTTAGTTTGTTTCTTTCAACGCAAAAAATACAGGTTTTTTGTTTCAGCTTTCTTTTTTTGGGGTGCTTTACTTTGTTGTGGTGTGGGGTTTCTATGGCCTGTTCTTAATATCTAGGGTTGTGCGAAATGGAAGCGTTCCATTTTGACCAGCGTTTCGATGGTTCAACAGAACAACGTTCTGTTTTTACTTTTGTTTTGAGTCAAAAGGGCTGTTGCGTATCGTTCTGTCAAAACAGTTTCGCATTTCGAGCCTGTTTGGACATTTCACCCATAGGATATAATGGGGAAGGATGAAACAGGCTATAACGTTATCATTTCTGGCCTGAGTTCAATTAAACTTATAGGAATGGTAGCAGCTTTTGAGGGTTTCAAGCCTGGCAAGGTTCAAGGAGATAGGTGCAGGGGATTCGGAGAAACTGCACCTCAAGCTGTGGACAAGCAAAACTCATGTCATGGGTGACACTGTGTGTGTTAAGGCGCAGCAGGGTGAAAGCTGCAGGCATGATAGCCCCTGCTGTGGCCATGAAGCCTGCCAGCTCTCAATGAGATAGGTGCAGGGGGACTCTGGATTCTGGGGCCCTGCACCTCTGGATGTTCACAGGCAAAACTCGTGACATGGGTGGGTGACACTGTGTGTGTGTTCAGGTGCACCCTTCCTGGCGCTGAGGCCTCTGCACAACACAGCAGTGTGCCCCAGTGAGGTCTCCTCCTCCCCTACAGCCTCAGTATAGTCCACTACTGTAAACAACAGCAGGTGAAAATAGCGTAAGTGACTCAACACCAATAGCAACAGCAGCACCTGCAGCATCTAAGGTAGCCAAATGGAACTGTCTTGTTATAAACAAATTGACAGCAAGAGGTAAATATGTTGTGTTGGTTATATGTTACTGGTGGTGTGTGTGATGGCTTATCTTGTGTTTTTATGTTTATATGCTGATTATGAAAAAAAACGGAATAGTTAGAGAAATATATCTTAGGAAGATTTCAGGTTGAAAAACCCTTTTTCAGGCTGAGGAAGTACCTGCAGTTGGTGTGTCTCCTGGTCCTGGTTGGAAGGAATAGTAAAAAAGCCAGAGGCCAGCCTGGTATGCAATGCAGGCAAGAAAGCTAGTCAGTGAAAATGGAAATGGAGGCATTAGGGGGTGAGGGAAAGGCTGGGGTGGGAGTGGGGGGAGGGAGAAGAGGGATGTAACAGCTCAGGTAAAAGTGCCGGTCGCAGTGTGTCAGAACTCCACTGTCTATATTGAGTCCATGAGTTTCTGTACCTGCTACCTAGAAGGCTGATGAAGCACAATTCATAGGCCCATCTCTGAAAAGTAGTTTGTACATTCAAACAAGCACCTAACCTCATCACCAGAACTGAAGCAACTTTGTACAGCTCAAAACACAAAACCTGCCAAATACCTCCAGTACCCCCACAAACTGCACACCAGAATCGATGAAAGACAGTACCCAACTACCTGTGGGGGCACAGTCCTCACCAAAAAAACACTCTGCCTCCAGTCTCTCAGGCCTGATCCTGAGAGAGAACAAATTACAAACCACTTTTCACAGCCGGGCCTATGAACTTCATTTCATCAGTCTCCTAGGTACAGAAACTCATGGACTCAATGTAGATTAGACAGCAGAATTCTGACAATACAGTTTTTTATAAGTTTGTGCCCTCATCCCTGGTAATATCCATATTCTTTTCTTTTGTGCAAAAATCCTATGTGATTTACATAGGCAAGGTTCTTTGGGTAGATATGATTTATATCTGTCACTAGAGGTTTGTTGTCTCTTCTCCTAGGGAAGAAAAAGATTCAACAGTGCTGTTTTAAAGGGAATGTAGTAGATTTTGAAATAAATCACATTTGTCTCTGATAGCTGCTATGTTAGAAACAGCAGGGTTTAAGAAGTGTCCTTGGGTCGTGGAGCAGAAAGGGGCCAGGTGTGCAATGTTTCGTGGTTCCTGTGGAAGTTTCCTCTGCTATCCTTGGACTGGCCATTGAGAAAGCTCTGCCTACTGCATGGACAAGGGTTCCCCTTGAGGTGGAAGGTCCTGTAACACTCACTTGAGCTTGTGTGACGGAGGTGTCCTGCAGTGTTCTGCAAAAGCTAATGTTTCCTGAGTCTGATGGCTTTCAGCCCAGCTAGACTCCAGTGCTTTAAGACAGTCAAAAGGCAGAAAGATATGTGGAGCTAAAACCAGGTCATCATCCATCTAGAAAAGAAAATCTTCCTAATATAAAATGTGTTACTTCTGAGAACTAAGGAGGGAACACAGGAGCTCTGGGATTAAACAACTGAGCTGGCTGCCCTGCCACATGACTCCTTTTCATTCCAATGCTCTAATACACAATTCTGCTGGGGGGACAAACTCTACCAGAGCAACTTGTTACCTTCTATTAAGATTTTTTAAAATGAATAACTTCTAATGTTCATTCAGCATCAAGCCTAACTCTGGAATTTCCATCCAATAATCCAGGAGAAATGCATGAGCACACAGTGACCCATGCAGGTCACAAATGTCATGCTTCTGCAGGAAAGGAGGAGAAAAGAAGACAAAAGTACAGCAGGAGCCCAGGTTTGCTATATCTAGTATGATTTTTGGCCCCATTCAGTTCTCTTCCAAGAATTTTATCTCACATCCCTTATCATTATACTAGACTTAATGCAGCACTGTAAAAGTTAACAGCTACTTCCAAGTGGTTCATGCCGCATTGTCCTTCCACTGGCCAATCTAACAAAATTGACCATTAACAATCAATTCTATCATAATACAGAATTTCAAATAAACTCAGTTAAACATATGCTGTACCTTCAAAATGTTTCCTATTTGTTAGTGAAATGCTTTCAGTGTAACCCAGCTGCCAGTCTGAAGGAATAGTGTCTCCCACTGGGCATTGAATGTCCAATGCCATGTACTCTATTTCTGTCTACAGCATATCCTGGAACTTCCTATGACTTCCAGTGGGTTCAGCCTCTTGATAAAGCCAAGGCCTTGATCTGTTCTATAATCAATGACTTTACCCCTTGTACTCTTGTTCTGCACTTTCTGGTTTCTTAATTATACATTTAGAACCATCCATATTCTTGTTCTCTGTTAAAATATGTGACACACAGGTTTAGACATCCAAATCACCCAACAGAATCTATTTCACCTCACAAAATGGGATGAATCATATGCACTGTAAATGCCTTGCCTGGTAGTTAAATAGGTGCCTGCATGATCCTGTTCTGCAATGGGTAGAAATATAACCTAAAAGTCAAGTTTTTGCAAAAATTACATGTGTACAGCTTGATAGGTGCCACTTTTGCTGCAAAGGTCAAATAGGATTTGAATGTATGAGTCTATATTCCCTCACGATTATACTGACAAATTAATTCCCTGTCTATCTACCCTTATAATCCAGCTGAAATGAGAAAACAAGAAGTGACCTACTCAGATCCCAGAGCCCACACTCGTATGCTGCAGGGGAGGCAAATGCCGGCAAGCACAGAGAATAGAGGTACAATGCATCAGGAGCTCTGTTGGCTACTGCACTCGTTCAACCAAAGTGTCCATAGTCACAGCTCTTTTTTCCAAGGCACCCCATGATCATATTACGAGAGCTGTAGCATCAGATTTATCTCTACCCTGAAAGGATAAAGCACATAGCTGATGGGGGATCTCCCTGTGCCAATGCCCAGGCAGACCACTGAGATAGGAGTACTCTGACCCTTTCAGCCAGGAGTTACTATTGTACCACAGACATGCTTAGCTGTTGTCAGGGTTATTGTGTGCCTAGTAAATAGCTGCTACTCCTGGAGGGGTTGTAGATCCGGGTGGCTGAGATGTGATTTTGGCAGACAGGTGTCAGGGAGACCTCCAATCAGTCCCCAGTTTCTCAGGAGGATATCACATTCAGACCCCATACCTGTTCATTTTCTCCCTCTTTTTTTGCTTAGTATCTTATTCTCCATCATCACCGTGGCGGCTCATTGCAGTGACTCTTGGGATCCTCTGCCTGGCTTTACTAGCAGCTGTGGGGACCTTAGGAGCCATCGGTAAGTATTGCAAAGGAACAACAAGTGATCTGAACCATTGTAAGGTTTGGGAGGAACTATTCTAAGAAATCATTTGGTGAAGCCTAGCCACACAGCATGACGCTAAGTGCCACTTGCACTTGTGAATTTGGTCTGGGCCAGAAGCATCCCACTTGATTGTAGCTGCATGTTTCCATGTCTTGGTCTGCCTATTATTCATCTGAGTGGATGTAGACACTTAAATGTTATCCTTCTTAAACTTTCTGTACGTCCTGAAAAAACAGTGAATACTCCATGACCTGAATCTTGAGAACAGGTGACAAAAAGCAGCAAGCCGGAGGAAGACCTACCCAACTTTTTTGTTAAATGTTTTTCAGGGTTTTAAGCAGTGTGGAATTACATTTTGGCATCTAATTGGTGGAATAGGATTACATTTTTGTATCTAGTTGGTGAAATAGGGCCTGACCCAAAGTAGGGGAAATAAAATATTTCTCCTTCTCTTGGGCCAAAACCCAGTTATGTTAGTACAGGATAAAAACCAACAGAACAAGAAGTGAGAACCCATCCAAAAAGCTAAGAATAGCAAGAGAGAAAACACACCTGCATCCGAAGAGATGAAGGAGTCACTCCAAGCAACAACACATTATTCCCAAGTACTAGTAGCCTAACCATCATCCAGTTTTTGGAGAGAAGGAGAGATAATGAGACCCTTCAGGAGGGAAATAGCGAGGTGACTTTTTGGACTGTTAAAGGAATCTCCTCCAAATTATGAAGGACAGCACTGGGAAAACCAGTCTGAATGAATGGGGAAGCAACCTAGTGACAGAGGATGCAGAAAAGCCTGAAGTACTCAATACCTTTTACACCTCTGTCTTCACAGATAAGGTCAGCACTGGACAGTGCAGCTTGGGGTGGAGGGGATCAGCCAGCAGAAGCAAAATAACAAGTTAGGAACTATTTAGAAACACTGGACATATACAAGTCCATGGGGCTGGATGGGGTGCACCTCAGGGTGCTGAAGGAGTTGCCTGATGTGATTGCAGAGCCACTGGCCATCATCTTTGAAAACTCATGGTGTTCAGGGGAGATCCAGGATGACTGGAAAAGGGCAAACATAGTGACCATATTTAAGAAAGGGAAAAAGAAGGATTGATTTTAGAAGGGCTTTTGACATGGTCTCCCATAACATTCTCACAGGTGTGCTAAAGAAGTACAGGGTGGATAAATGGACTGTAAGGTGGATAGAAAACTGGCTGGAGCATCAGGTTCAAAATGTAGTAATCAATGGCTCAATGTCTATATGGCAGCCGGTATCAAGTGGAGTGCCCCAGGGGTCAGTCCTGGGGCTGGTTCTGTTCAATATCTTCATCAATGACCTGGAGGATGACATAGAGTGCACCCTCAGCAAGTTTGAAGATGACAGCAAGCTGGGGAGTAGTAGATACACTGGAGGATAGGGCTATGGTTTGGAGTGACCTCAACAAATGGGAGGATTGTGCCAAAAAAAAATCTCATGAAATTCAACAAGGACAAATGCAAAGTCCTGTACTTAGGACAGAACAATCCCATGCACCAGTACAGGCTGGGGGCTGACTGGCTGGGCAGCAGCTCTGCAGAAAAGGACCTGGGGGTTTCAGTGGATAATAAGCTGAATGTGAGCCACGAGTGTGCCCTTGTTGTCAAGAAGGCTAATGGCATACTGAGCTGCATTGGTAGGAATTTTGCCACCAGGTCAAAGGAAGTGATTACTTCACTCTATTCAGCACTGGTGAAGTTATGTCTGGAGTACTGTGTTCAGTTTTGGGCCTCCCACTACAGAAAGCATGTGGACACAATGGAGAGAGTCCAACAGAGGGCAATGAAAACAGTGAGGGAGCTGGGGCACATGACTTAAGAGAAATGGAGGGAACTGGGTTTTTTAGCCTAAAGCAGAGAAGATGGAGGGGGAATTTAATAGCAGCCTTCAACTACCTGAAGCGGGACTTGAAAGAGGGTGGAGATGGATTGTTCTCAGTGTTGGCAGATGACAGAAAAAGGAGCAATGGTCTCACGTTGCAGCAAGGAAAGTTTAGGTTAGATAGCAGGAAGGAATTTTCTCATTAGGAGGGTCGTAAAACACTGGAATAGGTTACCCAGAGGGGTGGTGGGCTCTCCTTCCTTGGAGGTTTTTAAGACCCAGCTAGACAAAGACTTGACTGGGAGGATCTAGTCGGGGATGATCCTGCTTTGAGCAGCAAATTGGACTAGATGACCTTCTGAGGTCCCTTCCAAACCTAATTTTCTATGATTTCAGTTCTTCAGGCTTCCCATGAAGTGAGAAATATTAATGAAAACCTTACCAAGCATGAGGAAGTCCCTAAAAGCCTCACTCAACTGCAGCAAACCCTGGAAAATTGCATAAAGCAAAGGGATGCTTTCCAATCCCAGGCTCCCAAAATCTCCAGTGACGCGGAAAGGAAAGGTATGGATCTGAGATCAGTGTTCTGTGATAACCTTCGTACAAATATCTCTGACAAATTAGAACCCAGCTGTTGCTGAATAATAAAGGTTCTTTTTGTTCCTGTGGATTTATTGGACATAACTGCTATCTAGCTGTTGACATTGAACATCAGAAATAATTCTTTTAAAATATGTGGGGTCCTCGGTACAGGACATCATCAGTGCTCCGTGGCCACAGCAATGCCCAGGGCATTTCCCCTTCCAGGCTACATCTCTCACTGATAAACAGCAAGGTCATTGCCAAACAGCAGACTATTGACTAATGCTAGCTTCAAGCTGGCTGCTGCTGGTAACAATCTTTCTCGTTTCTTCCTCCACTTGTAAGTGATTTTGAGCCATTTTGGTTTCCATCACCATCAACATACCCTGGATGACATCTTGGAATCTATGTCATGGCGATGCCTTTTATACAGCCAGGCTTTGTGCTCAGTAACACATACCACTATGGGCTACCTGTACGAGGAGGGCATCCGCAGTTTCAAAATCATGGGCTTCTTCCATGTTGTCTAAGACAGACACTGCATGAGGTCTCACTAGTTCTAGGCTGATGCTATTTGCAAGGTTTCCATTCCTTGTTGCCAGACAGAAAGTGCATCCCATTACAGAGCAGGGGTGCACAAGCAAACGAGCCAGGGCATATATTGACTTGTACCACACCCACCAATCCAACAATGTGTTGAGTCTTCTGTGTTTTTTTATTTTCAAGGTGAAAAATGCAGCCGTTGCTCAAAGAGCTGGCTATTGCATGAAGACAAGTGCTATCTTTTTAGTAATGAAAAGAAGACATGGAATGATAGTAAAAAATACTGCTTCACTCAGGACTCCACTCTGATTAGCATAAACAATGAGAGAGAGAAGGTAAACCATTTCCTCTGATCTTTTCTTTCACCCTGTGACTGGGAGGGTGAATATGGTTCCACAGGTAGTTCACAAGGTGAGATGAACTTCTGAGTTGTCCTGGGCTGCATATTGTGCCCAGCCAGCAAGGGTGACTGATAGGGGTGTGCAAAACAGGCCATATTCAATTCAGATTCATATTTGGCCCAAATCAGGGACAATTATTTGAGTCATTGATTCGGATCACTGTCCTAATTCGATTTGTCTGAATTGGAATCTGAAGATTTGATGTTGATTTGTAGAATCAGCAATTCAGCCATAGACACAGCTTTAAATGTTTTTTCTACATACCTTGATATACCAGGCGTGGCTCGTGAATGCTGCAATGGTGTGGTGGATGGAGTGTCCCATGGGAGTGTGGGGGGGCCTCCCCGCATGCTCGATGGTGAACCTGGATGAGGACCGGAAGTTGTTCTGAACCCGGAAGTAAACTGGAAACTGGGTGGGCCCTCTGTGGCCCACCCAGCTCAGCAATCAGTCATGAGGGGACCTCAGGTGCCCCTCCACCCAGACCCAGGAGGCACCAGTCACCGAGCCAGGAGGGCATGGGTGGCCCCCCCAGCACGCTCCCCAGCAGACCTGGAAGTGGACTGGAATTGCTTCTAGTCCACTTCCGGGTCTGCTGCCAAGCATGATGAGGACCCCTCCCCACGCTCCCATGGGATGCTTCATGCGCCCCACCATCTCAGCATTCATGACCCATGCCTGGTACCTGGAGGTATGTAGAAAAAACATTTAAAGCTGTGTCTATGTCCAAATCATCAAATCTTTCCAAATCTCTCAGAATTGATTCAGAGTCCCAGTTCAGTTTGGAGATATTAAAGGGTCTCCTGATTCGATTCAGAGATTTGGCCACTTAACTGGGCTAAATCTCTGCTGAATCAAATCAGTGACTGAAATTTCGCACAGCCCTAGTGACTGACCAGCTTTTGGGCACTCTATGCCCCAATCCCCCAAACCTCAGGCACACAGAATAAGGGGTCCAGGCACCCCCTTCTGCCTTACACACACACTTGGGAACTCCCAGTCAGGGCACAACTACACAGATTTCAAGAAAGTATAGGAATGAATCTGTCCCGAGCTCAGCGTTAATCAGAAAGGGAACTAGAAAACTAGAATAATGGTGGGTACTTACTACTACTCCCTGGTGGCAATTCAACAACACCACAATGCCTAAAAGGCAACAGTTCTACTTAGAAACCTAAGCAGTATGTGTCCACACACCTCTGACCTGGGACAATTGTGAACCAGTTTCCTAATCAGTTTCACAGCATTTCCCACCCCCCCTTATGTCTCTCAATAGCCTCTGTTGTTGTTGATTATGAGAACGTACTGACTTGTCCCAAGTATTTTGTTAGGAGAATGAGCACACGGAGGAACATGAAAAGTCACAGTGTGCGCACCCTGGCACACTGCTGCTGGCCAGGACACATTAGCCACCTTCTCTTGCCTGGTATACAGATCACTGACAGGGGTCAGGGAGAAGTTCAGTCATTTGATTTGATTCCCACACAGGATTTCATAACACCGCTTCTGCGTGACCACTGGATTGGACTGTCCCGCAGGGATGCCACTAACCAGCCACACTGGGAGGATGGCACAGCTTATGCCACTGACCCGTAAGTCTCTGATACAGCTAGAAAATGGCTGCTTATGTTACATACCAGAATGTTCTTCTTACAGAATATGCCCTATTGTACACTTAATGGGAAGGGAAAGATTAATTTATGTTGTAATTTCTTTGCCCAGACCTTAATCCACCTCCTCGGCATCCTCTTCCACACTGCTTCATGCCTTGAAGAATGGCAAACACACCTACGCCCTTATTTTTGTGATTCAGTCTTAAGATTAAGACCATGCCATGTTACAGAGGTAGAAGACCCAGCATGTTTTGTGTTAATGGGTTTCCAGGGACTTAAGCAGAGTGGAAGTGGTTCTAACTTAGGCACCTAATAAGAAGGATATACACAATGAAGTACAGAAATATAGTAACATTTATCTCACTAACAAGATGAAACTTTCTCTTGTGTTCCCAGAGTTAATTTTAAAGCTATGTCAAATCTATACTCTGTGATACGGGGTAAGGGAGGTTGGATGATACCTTGCTGAATCCAGAAGGTGTAACATCTGACCTTGATTCAAGAGGAATATCAATATGTGACTGTTCTCTTTCATGCACTGCATCAGAAGAGCTGTAGTGCATGGGGATTACAAAGCAGTCTGACATGGTTTAGGAGCATAGGAAATTAGCACTGGAAGAGACCTTATGAGGTCATCTAGTCCAGGCCTCTGTTCAAGGCATGGTCATCCCAGCTAAGTGTCTGTGCCACCTGCTCTTGAAAGTTTCCAGGACTGGAGATTCCCTAACTCTAGGGAGCCTGCTTCAATGCCTGACCACCCTCACAGTCAGATAGTACCTCTTGATCTCAAACCTAATTTTCTCTGCTGCAACTTCAGGACACTCCTAGTCCTGGCTCCTACAGCCACAGAGAAAAGCCAATCTCCATCCTCCCTACAATCACTTCTTGGGAGTTTGAAGACTGTTATCAAATTCCCACTTAGCCTTCCCTTCTCCAGACTAAATAATCCTAAATCTTTCAGCCTTTCCTC